TACTATAATATTTATATTTACACATTTTTTGTAATTCTAAGTATAATGCATACTGTATTATATTGTCGTTTACCTTTCTATTCTTTGTTTAACTTTTTTTAGTTATTTATTTTATATGTATATAAATTTGGGTACCCTAAACACAGAAATAAGGAGTAGAGTAAGAAGAAAGAATTATGATGGTTAAGGTCTAGCACATTTGGATAAAAAGAGAGGGAGGGACTAGGACATGGCTCGATCAGTAAAATGCTTGTTGCCATATAAGAATGGAGACCTGAGTTCGATTCCCAGAACCCACAGTAAGTATCTTAATCTCAGCACTGGCAGTAGGGCCAGGAGGATCCCTGGGCCTTGCTGGCTAGCCGGCCTAACTATTGGCAAGCTCCAGATTCAGTGAAAGATTCTATCTCAAAAATATTCAGTGTAGAGGACACCAGACATCAACCTCTGGCTCCACACACATGAACTGTCACGTGTAAGCACTTCTGTACACAAACATGCACACACCAAAAGAAGAGTAATGAGTGATCACAAGATGCCAGAGAGGCATGGAGGGAGCAGCACAAGCAACTCTATCAAGAGCTGCCAAGCAGGGTGAGCATCGTGAGTGAAGAGCCGGCCGTTGCACATTGCACACCCTCTCTTCTTGGAATGTGTTCCAGATGTTTACACACACAGCAGCCTGTCTTTCTTCCTGTCTTCACTCAAATTACCTTCTTGGTGGTGCTGGAAGTGGCCACCCTATTCACATGTCACCTCGCTTTCCCTTTTGCTTATAGTGCCTTTCCTTAGTGCTCTGTCACTATGTAACAGACTAGTTTACCTACTACCTTATTTCCCTCTTTAGATGTAAAATCCATAAAGGCAAATATGTGGGTCTTTTTTATGCACTGCAGCTTAATCAGACAATAACACAGCGACTGACACCCAGTTGACACTGGGCATTCAATTCAATTCACTGAGAATGGAAAGGAAAATTTTTGAATGCCTAGCTTGCTAAGAAACTACCGAGTACCACTGAGCATGGTGGTACACACCTTTAACCCCAGCACTTGGGAAGCAGAAGCAAGTGAATCTCTGTGAAATTGAGGCCAGCTTGATCTACATAGTGAGTTCCAGGCCAGTCAGGGCTACAGGGAGACCTTGTCCCAAAAAAAAAAAAACCTACCAGGCTTGGTGGTGCAAGGATATATAAAGAATTGCCACCCTTAAGGGACACCTAGTCTGGTGATGAATGAAAACATAAATAGAAAAACTATAGTACACTATGATTAAATGCAATATAGGTAATAGCACTAAAGGCCAAATCAAACTGAGAGGGGCTCACAAGTGAGAGTAGGTCAGACCACCTACACATAAGGGGAGGGGGGATATCAGAACACAACTGGAATTTGTCATCTGCTTGCTCATTAAATGTTTATTGATCTCTTAACACTATGAAAAGGCACCAGTGATATTGTAAGCAAAAGAAACACAAACTCCACTCTTGGAGAGTCACTCTATCAAGTAGCTACTGGCTGTTAAAAAGCTTTACAGTTCCTGAGTCAGCCAATTCTACGTGGCTGTGCCACACATTACGTTGGCCTACTCTGAGGCAGCTGTATGAGGTTCTGACAAATTGTTCTTAGTGAAGAAACATCCAAGCATGCCCCATCTCTGGCTTGGTGATTAAAGATAAAGTACAAAGCTTTACTTGAGTGAAGCTTCCCACCAAGCTGTGCATATTTTCTTTAAAGTCATTTAGCTTTCGTATTTCAAACTGAGACGTGGAGCTGGAAGGCTAGATGCTGCTCATGAAAAGATCAGCAATCATAGCATTTCAGCATGAATTCTTCATTTTACAGATAATTCAGTTCTAAGTACTGGTTGTCTCCTAGATGATGCTGCATGCAGTGGCATTTGCAAATATCCCCACTGATGGGATTCCAGGGAATGGCATATCTTTGGATTAAAGCACAAGGTAAAATGTATTCCTTTTGCAAGAGCTAATCTTGAAAAATCCTACAAAATAGAATATGTGGGATTCAAGTGTAAACCAACAAGAGAAGAGTCACATACCGTTTTTAATACTTTTCAATAAAGATTTGTACTTAAGGTAGAAGATAATTTCAGGCAGTCCTAGAGCTTTTCTAATTGAGCCCATAGAGAGGTACACTCTCAAATTTTAGAGTTGCTGATTCTCAAGTATTCATAAGGAAGAAGATCAACCAATCAAGACCCTTGCAAGGTTTTCAGTATTTGTTTAATTATTAAAGTTAAAATACATTAAAAAGTAGTTCTCAATATGGAAACATTTTCCTAGACTGGATGTAACTGAGTGACATCCAGGAAAGCATTAATTAGAAATTTATTGGAATGACTATTAACAAAATGTAGTTTTTCCTTCCTTGCATCTCACACAGTTATTTGGGTCTCACTATGTAGCCCAAGCAGGCCTCAGACACTCAGTCTTCTGCCTCAGCCTCCCAGGGGCTGGGATTAGAGAAATATATCACCACATTCAGCTTTGTTCAAATTCTTCACGTGTTCAAGCATAATCCTTATTTCATTCTCTGACCACCTGTCAGAGGGAAAGGCATTTGAGAACTGAATGAAGAGAAGGTGAGATCAGCTGCATCTATGATGTCAAAATAACAGTCAAAAGTGGGGAAACATTCAGAAAAGATGATTTGGGAATGTGGAAGGGGCAGTGGAACATGCCAGTGAGCACTTTGGTGCTCTCGTGGTTACTTTTGCAGGACTGTATTTCCCTTATTCTTTCCCTGCCCAGGCTGCCATGCTGCAATTCTCTTAGAAGAAAGGTACAAATACACAAAACTAAGTTGGAATGAGATGTTTTATCAAGAAAGTCACTGGGTCATCAAGGTGGCTCTCAATGGGTATAGGCTTTTGCTGCCAAGCCAGATGACCTGAGTTTAATCCCAGGGACCCACACAGTGTAAGGGAAGGTCCTGCAGCAGGGAAGGTCCTGTAAATGCAGCAGTGATAGAAAACTGGCCCTTGACCAATCCAAGTGCCCACCAGTCTGAACAGTGCAAAGATAAGGGATGCCAGTCTCAAGAAACAGCCTCCTGCACCAGTGTGCCCTGGTATCAGAGGATCTAGAGAGCAGCCATTCCAACACTAGTCTCTGTTTTCTTTTCTTTTTTGTTCT